CCTATCATGCCAGTGTGGCACATGGGCACTGTTCTGTGTGCTGCTGGTGCAGAACCTCTGTTCCGGAGCCCACAGGCTCAGAGACCAGCTCAAAAGGGATCCCAGCAGGCCTGGAATCGCCAAGTCAGCAGCTGTCACATGGATTAAGAGCAGCTTCTTCCCCATCTGCACCTGCAGCCAGTCCGAGCTGAGCAAGTACAAGAATGGAGCCCGGTTAGAGGCCCGGAGTTTCACCCAGGCCTTTGGGGCACGGTTTTGGCTCCAGTCACTGTGGCTAGTCATGACTCAGGCTGCCAGAATGTACCCAAGAGCGGATGGTGTTCACCGCAGCAGCTGACTCACATGTGTGTAACAGACTTGCAGACAGGGAAGTGGATGGCTCCCAGGACTGGTGATGGGACGTGGCGATATTAACCTGTTGGTGGCCAGTCCCATGTCACTAGCAACTGAAAAGTCACTGTCTGCAGGCCGGACGGTGGCCTGTGTGAAATGGGATGCTGATCCTTTTTGGTGTGTATCAGACATTCCTCTGATGTCTCTGGTTCTGGCCACTACTGGAGATGGGATGCTGGATTAGGTGACCATCGGTCCGATCTGGCCTGGCAAACCCTAATGGGCAAGTTTCCAGCACACACACCGTCCCCACCACCATCAGCCCTTCTGCTGGCTGTCTGCAGGCTGGAGCTGAACAGGCCAACGAGACCAAATGACTCTCCCATCCCTAGGGAAGAGTCCATCCAGAGCTGGGGTGAGCACATTGGTGGGTAGCATGTACGGGAGAGCTGTCCCTGTTCTGTGATGCCAGGACCTGTGCTGGCTGGGGCTCATAAAACTATTGCTTTTAACCAGCCCTTCAGTCTAGAAAATACACCCTAAGACAGAAGGTTTGCTCAGGAGACCTCCGTCCCGAAGGACCCAGGACTATACCTGATGGAAGGACATGGGGTCACAGAGCAGAACAGGTTGGAAAAAGCAGCCCCAAAAACCCGAGAACCTGTTCTGAACATTTATTACTGTTTTTTTCAGAACTTGGATGACATTTTTCAAACATTGAAAAGTGTCGGCTGGAAAAAAACAAAGCGTTTTGTTTGGATGAAATTTGAATTTTCCATGAAAAATATAATTGAAAAAATCAAAATCCAAAAGACGGTGACCTGCCCTCCTGTCGAGTAAGTATCAGTCCCGACCCCCCCGAATCCATCCTTCCTCGGCGGCCCTCCCTGCCTCTGTCCCTCCAAATTTCGGGTGCCCGTCCACGGAAGCACGGTGCTCACCTGAAGGTATAAACCAGGCACCTCTCCTGCTGAAGCTTCAGCGACGCAGTGAGCATGTGATCTAGGCAGACTCGCCACGCCCCGGCAGTGCTGGCTGTGAAATCCTGGAGCCCAGCCTGGCTCAGAGCTCGGGAGCAGGGCAGCTGAAGGAGAAGGGAGAACAAAATCAGCCCTTTAGCTGGGGACTGGATTGGGTTCATAACCAGGGGCTTGGGAGGTGCTTGGCCCTTGGCAGCTCTGTTTTCATCACGGCTCAGCAGCCATCCCCTGCCTGAGCCCAGTGGCGGCCAGTTCTCATCAGCCAGTGTACAGAAGCAGTTCTCCTCCCCTATGTCAACAAGCCAGCCCCATCCCTCTCCAGGAGAGCTCACTTCATCTCAGGATTCTCCAGCCCAGGTCCACCAATGCCCCTTGCCTTCCCAATCCCTAACGGCCCCATAGGAATGTCCCCTTTCCCCCTGCCCTAGGCCTCCTTCCTATCTAGAGACCTCCCCATGCCATCATGGCCCCCAAGGGATGGGACTCTGCGGGGCTGTGTCGTCTCCACCACAGGCCACAGGGAACTTTCTACAGCACTGGTCGGGGATTGGGATTTTCTCTCCCCCACCCCTCAGATCCTGCCCTTCTGCAAACCACCGGGGCACTCCTCTGATATGTGAGAGGCGAGTGCCAGCAATGAGAGTGGAAGAGAGGAGAGCGGAGCAGCCACCGGAGAGTGGGTGGGGGAGTAATCAGGGGAGAGGCAGAACCCCAAAGGTCACTGCCTCTCCAGGCAAGAGGCTTATCCAGGTGGAATCCAGGCTCCCTCCCAGGCGGAGTGCCCCCCGGAGCTCTTATTCCCACCTCTGGGCCGTGTTGTGTAGCCGGGCGCTGGCGTGAGGAGGGGGAGCCGTGCTGTGTGACCTACCTGGGGGGTGCTGATGTACGTAAGGAACCGTTCGGCTTCGCTTCGGAGGGACTCGCTGCCATCGGCCCAGGGCTGCAGGGCCACCTCCTGCTGGGTTTTCTAAGGTCACAGAGATGAAATGCACAGTGAGTCAAGCGCTGGGAGTGCTGGGGCATGCTGGGAAATGAACCAGCCTCGGCTCCGGAGTGTCTAAAAGGATTCTGACGTGGCGGAGGAACCTGCCAAGGCACTGAAGGGTTTAATAACCCAGAAACACAGGCTCAGCACGGCAGCACCCCAGTGCCTGAACAGCCAGGGGACGGCCGCTGCTGCAGTGCTAGCGCTCCAGGCTGTGCTTTTATCAGCTACGCAGGGCTGGGCAGCACTTGGATGGGAAACTTCTAAGGGCAGCCCAGGTGCTGCAGGGAGACGTGTAAGTGACTCAGTGCTCCTCTCCTCTGAGTCACTGCTGACCCCAATGCCCCAGCGCAGTGCTAGGGGGCGCTGTGCTGCAGGGAGCAATGGGTAGGTAAGCCATTAGGGGGCGCTCTCTCCTCTGAGTCAGGCCTGACCCCAATGCCTCAGCGCAGTGCTAGGGGGCGCCGTGCTGCAGGGAGCAATGGGTAGGTAAGCCATTAGGGGGCGCTCTCTCCGCTGAACCAGGCCTGAACCCAATGCCCCAGTGCTGTGCTTCTGGAGTGGAAATTTCTTTTGACTGAGGTGTGACGCTGAGGCCCTGATCGCTCCTAGCCACTATAAGCTCTTCCGACACATTTCACAAAGTAGGGGCGCTAAGCCCAGTGTCCTGGCCATAGTCCAACTCAGGTAATTGCACGTTGCCTGCCTAAAATTCTCCCTGCCGTTTCAGCTGTGGGGTTAACAGCAGTACCACCACCATCACGAACCGATCCACACTGGAGAAGAGGAGGGGAGCGGAGTGTGCTGCAGCTGACCAGGGTCCCCCACTGCACGGGTGAGCTCCTGTCGGCTCTGCCTCCCCAGAGCTGCTGTGGCAAAAACGGACTGTAGGGCTGACCAGCTAACACAGGAGACTTTGCATTTCTAGTGCCTGAGGGGTGCCATGTTCTTTACCAACACTACTTAACCATGTCTCACAACTTGCTCCCCGCCCACCCCACCCCCCCGCAGCAGTGAGGTCCCATTATCCCCATTTTCCAAGTGGAGAAACTGAGGCACAGAGAGGGGGAGTAACTTGCCCAAGGCTACTTTGCAAGTCGGTGGCAGATCCCAGCATAGACCCCAGTAGTCCCGACTCTTGACCCTGTGTTCTAACTCCTAGGGAATGAACAGGAGGACTTGTGGCACCTTAGAGACTAACAAATTTATTAGAGCATAAGCTTTCGTGGACTACAGCCCACTTCTTCGGATGCATATAGCTGTCTCCTGAACGAGACACTCCACAGACAGTTCCCAGTACTGTAGACCAGGAGAAGGAAACAGAAACTCCCTCCCTTCCAGCATGGGTGGAGAAGGGGCAACGTGAGAGACAAAGACCCCTTTGCGCAGGCAGGAGGCTTTGAGTACAAAGGGAAAGTCAGCTACAGCAGGAGAATGGCTCTGTATCTGCTCTGCCTTTATCAGTGTGATCAGCAATAGGCCAGCAAACAGCCCACAGCCTCCTGCTGCAGCTCCTGGACCGGCAGGTCGTTAATTATGGCCAGAGCCAGCCTTAAGCGTAAGCAAACTAATGACCATCTAGGGCCCCAGGTCCCAGGCAAGCTCCATCCAGCTCACAGGTTGGCCCAGCCTCCCTCTGCCTGGCAGGATCAGCAGAGCCAGCTCCCCGCCGGGCCCCGTTTCAGAGCACGTAGCGGGGAGACCAAGTGGTGGAGCCTCATCAGGTCAGGGCTTTATCAAACGAAAAGCCGGTCTTCACGATGGCTGTGCCAACCGCCTCCCTGGCCCGCCTCACCCGGGGGCCGGTGTCCTCCCCGCACTGAGAGCCCACGGCTGGGTTTTCAATGCCTGCTCCCCATGCACCTCCCAGGGCTTGCACAGATCCCTTTAAATCCAGGGCGAGCCCAACCCCTCCTGCACTGCGGCCCGCTGTCATGAGGCCCAGGGGACACTGGACCAGCACATATGTATCCTAGCTAAACCTTTACCCCAGCCTAGCCCATGGTCCTCCCCTCCCGGAGCTGCCACATTCTTGGCTTCATCACCCCCCTGTTCCCCAATGCTTAGGGGTGGTACCAATCTGCAGACCCTACCCCCATCCGGCTCAGGGGGGGGGGCATGGAGACGGAGGCGGGAACGAGGGAGGTGGTGAATGGTGGGGGGTGGAATGTATGGAGAGGCATGGGGGAGTGGTGGTGAGGGGCTGGTGATGGTAAGGAGGTGTGAGGTGGAGGTGGCAAGGTGTGGGGGTAGGGGATGGGGTACTGGTGGGAAGGGGCTGGGAGAGATGTGGGTACTGGTGGGGGTGGGGGAGGAGAGGCGGAATGCTCAGGGGTAAGAGAGTGGAGAGGTGAGGGGCACTGGTGGGGCTGATGGGGGGAGGTGATGGAGGAGAGTTGGTGGGTGGGGCCTCTGCTGGGGGTTGGTGGGGGGAGGTAGTGGAGGTGGGGGTGGGGGCTCTGCTGGGGGCTGATGTGGGGAGGTAGTGGAGGTGGGGGCACCGCTGGGAGCTGATGGGGGGAGGTGGTGGGGGATGGGGGCACCGCTGGGGGGACTGATGGGGGGAGGTAGCAGAGGTGGGGGTGGGGCATCGCTGGGGGCTGACGTAGGGAGGTGGTGGGGGATGGGGGCACCGCTGGGGGCTGATCAGGGGAGATAGCAGAGGTGGGGGATGGGGGCACCGCTGGGGGGATTGATGGGAGGCAGTGGTGGGGGATGGGGGCACCGCTGGGGGGACTGATGGGGGGCGGTGGTGGGGGATGGGGGCACCGCTGGGGGGACTGATGGGGGAGGGAGCAGCAGCAGAAATCTGGCCTGGAACCGCAGATACTTCAGCACCCAGCTGAAGCCTGCAAGCTCCCTGCCTCCCGTGCAGTTCACAGGCATGAGGGGCAGGATGGGACACGGGTCCCCTATCGGGAGGGGAGGGGGCTGTGATTCATGGTGCTAATATCTCCTCTTAATTATCCTAGACACAAAGGGGCTGGGCCCAGCCAAGATCAGCAGCATGTGGGATCAAAGAGCAGGAGATGCGAGGGCGAGCGAGCGGGGACCCAACACGCCCGCTGGAACCTCTCCCTCCCAGCCAGAAGGAGGGTGCTGGACGCTGGACAGCCCGCGCTGCCCGCTGGAGCCATCCCAGGCTGCCAAATGAACTGGGGGGGGGGGAGGACGCTAATCTCCACTCTGATTAGGCTGAATTCCCAGCGATGAAGGTTTCTTCTTTTTTCTCCCCCCTCCGCGATAACAAATAATAATATAATCCCCTTAATCCCTTCCCCTAGGAGCCTGCATTCCGCGCAGAGACAGGAAGCGCAGAGCTTCTGCCACCGCTGATAACTCAGACAATCTGGGCCCATGGAAAATGAACGAATGCCTTGGGTTGCATTATGCCCCCCAGCTGAAGAGCTCTGCCCTCCCCTCTCTGAGGATTCTCCCCACTCACCCCCCAGCCCCTCCATCACCCACGCATTCTTCTGGTTGTTCTGGGCTCCCTTCTACCTCGGGCTAGGCCCTGCCAAGGCTGCCTGGAATCCGAGCCAGGATGATATTTACCAGTACTGTGGCAGGGCCCTGACATGTCACTTTCGCCTACCCGCTCCCAGATGTCCCTGGCTTCTGCTGGCGAGACAGGCTGCGTGGCATTTGGGCAGCAAAGCATTCAGCAGGAGTGACTGCCTAGACTAGAGCCGGGCAGGGCCATACCGCCACTGGAAGCAGCAGCCACCTTGGAGTCAGCCTGGCCGGGCTCCACCACTCAGCAACACACGCAGGGCCAAGGCCCCTCTGCTACACACACAAGCCCTGCTTCAAAGCCCCCTTTGGGTCCCATCCTCCCCAGAACCAAGAAGAACAGAATGCCCGTCCCCTGATCTCCTCACTAGATCATGCTCCCTGACTCCCATCAGTCCCCTACTCGAATCTCCAAATCACACTCCTGCCTAAAGCCAGGAATAGAACCCAGGTGTCCTGACTTCTTCCCTCCCTCCCTATCAGTTCTGGTGCCTGGATTTTGTTTTAGACAGTTGTTGTGCACAACACTGAGCAACACACATAGCAAGTAAATCCCACCCCCTGCCCCCTACATAAAACAACCTTCGCTTTTATTCTCTAGCTCTCCTTTCCCCATGGTTTGCTGATCTCAGCTCCTCTGGTCTCCAAAACAGCTTTCAAAATTACTGGAGAGTGGAGACCTTTGAAAGCTGCCCCCAGCTGCATCGGCTTTTGGTTTCCCTCCCCCACATGCTCAAAACATGACAGCGAGGGGCCACGTTTCTGAAGCCCCACACAAAGGATGAGCAGTGCCAAATGCCGCATCAGAGCAACTGCAACCCGCCCCTCCCTCCACCACCCATCACCACCTTGGCGCACACGCTCATCTGCTCTTGCAAACCAGATGCCCAGGGTGCACATGCAGGCAAAGGGTGCGTGCGCGTTTACCAAGCGAGGCAGGGCTTTGTAAATTCGCCCCCCATTCGTTCAAAAGGCACCAGGCTGTGATTGCTTAATATCCAGTCAAAGTCAGAGCAGGAAGGGGCTTAAATGGCTCAGGGGAACAGTAACAGGCGATGGAAGTTGCTGGTTCAATTCCAACCAAAGGCAGTAGTGAGTGAATGTCAGTGTCCTCTTCGCTGGTATGTGAAATGAGTTTGCTGGGCCTTAGTCCAGTTTCTACCAGGGAAGCAGGTACCTCCTACCCCCCCCCACCCCCCCATCAGAGCTGGGAGGCCTGGCTGCCAGCCTCCAGTCCTGAGGCCAAGGGTTAGGGGCTCCTGGGTGTGGCACTCTGGCATGAGTGAGAAGCGTGTGCTGCTGGGGATGGGTGATCCCCCTGGGAAAAGCAGGGGAGGTTTGGCATTGCAGCTGCAGGGAGAATTCTCACCCTTGCAATGTGGGAATGGTGCTGTGCACAGCACCAGGGTTGGAAGAACTTGATGTTGTCCCCGTGTAATTTACAGAGGCGCATGCACCCCCGTCTGCACATGGCCCCAGCCTGTCAGTCAGAAGGCTCAGGAGAGGTCAAGGCATGGCACCATCTCTCAGGAACTCCCTCCCAGATACCGGGACACTTCCTCCTCTCTGAAAATCTCGCTGGGAAGCCATTCTGGCTCGGAGATTTAAAAACAAACAAAGGGAAAGGCTTCCGCTAGCAACACACACTCAGCCCACAGGACGCGCTGCCACAGGGGGTGACAGGGTCGAAGACTTCAGCGGGGGGTGCACAAGAAGGACAGCTTTATGGCTAGTAAAGGGGCCAGATGGTGTCATGGCTACAAGCAGCGGTCTGGCTGTCAGGAGATTCAGTCTATGCCCAGCTCTGGACGAGGTATTTCCCCAGCCCCTCTCTGTGCCTCAGTTTCCCCATCCATAAAACAGGAATGGGAATTCTCCAGGCTGTGAGGGGAATTATTGGCACAGGGCATTTTCATCCTCAGCTGGAAAGCTCTGGAGAATGGGCTGATCCTGAAGTCCATCGCTAACTTCCTACTCTGACCTCACTCAGGCAACACTCTCAGTGAAATCAGTGAGAAGGGAAATCTTGAAACCTTTCAGGCCACATCTGCTATTGAATCAAAGTGCCAGATTTGGCGGATCACAGGTCTGATCTGGCACATGCCAGGTGATTGAAGTTACCAAGTATAAAGGATGCAAGGTAGGAGTAATGACTGTGATTTTCAAAGCCAGTAATTTTAATGAGAATCGGGTGGCCAGATCTCCGAGGCAGCTTTGAAAATCTCAGTCAGCATCTATTGGGATTACACATAATGAACTGGCTACCGTGTTTGTACCTCACTGCCCTCTTCTGGCTGAAATTAGAAACACGCAACGGTGTCATGGACTCTATACTGGTAACAACTAATGAAGATTCTCCTTTAGAACCAATCATAGTGGACTTTAGGAGCAAGAGGAGTTGAGTTCTATCCCCACTATTGCTGCAAAGTGCTGAGTTGCCCAGGTGTGGCTCAGAGCCAGCTGCGAAGTCCTACGTGACTGTGGATTTGTGTGTATATCACTCACTCTCCTGTACCCAGGGTGTGCAAAGTCTCCGAACAGCATGTTCAGACAGGTTGTAACACCTAGGCACAGCAGTGTGTCTTAGGACACAGCAACCTCCACGCTAAATTCCTTCCCTGATGCAGAAGTCGGACCTCGAATGCAGCTTTAATGCTGTTTTATGTTTAATCTCCCTCGTTTTGTTTAACCGTAATCTTCAATAAAAGCCTTCAACTGGCATCACATCTAGTGCCGGGGCTGTGGGGTGAGGCAGTCACTTCACCAGCGGAAACCCATCCATCCCCTTTCTGCCGCTGTTGATACAGTACCAGTCTGAACCCGTGGATACTTAGCCTGAAGCTCTCCGCCTGCACTGGTACAGACACGGCTGGTGGTTTTAGATGTCTGGATGACGCAGACAAGAACAGTCAGATGGAGAGGCTGCAAAACCCACACAAAAAGCCTCCCCCAACCTTCCAGTCGCAGCAAAATCCCTGTTCATTCCTCTGCTCCCACCGGGTCCCCTGCCACCGGTGGCCGCGTATGTGTGTATACACCGGTGGCCGCGTATGTGTGTATAGCTGCCATGACCAGCCCTTTTAACGGGGGACCCTGTGTGTAACAAGACTGGCTGCCATGGGGGCCAACAGAGCTGCAAGGCGTCACTGTGAGACTGCATGTGTGTGCACACGATGCCTGCGGATCGGTGCGTGGACCAGGGGGAAGGGGGATGCGTCAGGACAGCTGTGCCGCTTCAACTCTGCCCGCCCTGCATTGATCCCATGAATTCCCACCCTAATGAGCCCGCAGGGACTCCTCTTTCAGAGCCCGTCTCCCCTTATGGGCAATTTGTGGGCGTCTGTAACTTTTCTCAGCCTTCCACGCTGTAAAGGGATCAGGCCACTCACTCTCGGGTGGAGGGGATGGGATTCCTGGAGAAGCAGGGGGGAGGCAAATTCCTTCTTTGTTCCCAAGGGAATAGAAAAGTTAGAATCATGGAAAACCTGCAGTCCTCCCTCTGGCTCTCCCCACCCCCCAGCCAGAATCCCAGCAGCAAACCTGCCAAGCCTCATTATAAAGAAGCTCTGCACATTACAATAGGCAGCAACGCTCCTAATCTCAGCAGACAGAGGCATTGCAACAAACCAGGACGGTTCACAGACACCCCTCAAGAAGGCAACTAAAACAGCACCAAACACGTCTCTACCCTGGAGGTTCGCTCCTGCCTGCTGCAATGCCAGCCAAGATTTCAGCACATGGGCAAGGCTCCATCCTGGCCCCCGTCCAGCAAACCTTCCTGACCCGAGTAGCACTTTTATGGAAGGAGTCTCATGGCGAGCATGCAAGCCCATCTTTGCACGAGTAGGGGGCTGCCCCCACGTTAATGCAATTCCAAACCCACCTTCCGAATAGGAAAAAAAAAGCCAAACTACAGAGGGGCAGGGCCCCCTAGCAATCCCCAGGGAGATGCCAGTAGCTCACTGGCGTGTGGAACCCAGGCTGGGCTGGTTAATCTCATGACTGCACACTAACCAGAAGCACAGGCTGCCAGCCCATAGGGTTACTGGAGCAGTGCCCAGCCCTGGGCTAACCTCCCCCAGGGCTGGCCGTTCATCGCCCTCTGACTCCTGTGGGCTTGGGCCTAGGGTGACCAGACAGCAAATGTGAAAAATCGGGATGGGGGTGGGGGGTAATAGGAGCTTATATAAGAAAAAAAAAAAACCAAATCGGGACTGTCCCTATAAAATCAGGACATCGGGTCACCCTACTTGGGCCCTTCCAGACATAAATGCAGCCACTTCCCGGGGGTTCCTTACGTGCCCCTTCGGCCTGAGTCTCTCTGAATCCCGTTCATCAGAAGCAGCAGGCAAAGGGAGAGAAGAGAAGGAGGTTTAGTGGGGAAAGCGCCACCCCCCAACCCCCAAACCAGACAGTCTTTCTCCCCCTCTCTCCCCCACCTCCCCAAGGGGGTCCAATGCAGAGTGTGCAGGGGAGGGGAGGAAAAGGCTCTTTGAGATCAAGGGACGGAAGGGAGGAAGAAAAGCCAGCGCGGGAGGGAGAGGGGAGGGAAGCCAGGAGTTAGATCAGGGGTGGTTAGTCCGGAGTTAAGTCCTTGGCTGGGGAGGGAGCCAGGCACCCCGGAGAGGGGCTGCAGGGCAGAGCGCAGGGGAGAAGCGGCGCAGGGGGGGCTCGGTTCCTTACGGGCTGGCCGAGGTTCTCGTTCTCATCCTGGTAGCGCTGCAGGGAGCCCGGGCTGCGCCCGCCTGGCCCCCCGGCCGGGGCTCCCGTCCCCTCGTGGCGGGGGGCGGGCGCTGCCCGGGGCGGGCTCCCCGCGGATGGTGATGATGGTGAAGGGCCCCGGCTCGTCCCCCGGGCGGCCGCAGCGCAGCAGGATCTGCCCCAGGCTCAGGACCCAGCAGCCCAGCAGCAGCAGCCGCAGAGCCGAGCCGCCTCCCATGGCTCCGCCGCAGCCGCCGGCTCCTCCACCTGCAGCCCCGGCCGGGACCGGCCCCGGAGGAGGGGCGGCGCGGCCCCCGCTCCCCGCCCGGCGGCTGCATTCCTGGGCTCGGGCTCCCAGGCCCCGCCGCGACCCTGCCTCCCCCGGCGCCCGCGGCGAGCTCCGGGACCCGGACCGGACCTGCTCGGACTCTGCCCAAACTTCCCCGTGCCCCGCACTGGGCCCAAAGCCAGCCGTGGGGTCCGTGCCCTGTGTGTCCGGCTCCATGCTGCGCCCGGGCCACGTGCCCCAACCCCCCCCCCCGTGGATCCAGGCCACGTGCCCAAACCCACCTGTGCCCTGTGGATCCAGGTCATACCCGGCCCACGTGCCCAAACCCACCTGTGCCCTGTGGATCCAGGAAACGCGTCGCCCAGGTGAACAAGCCCGCTCAACTGGAG